ATACAGTAAAGTTTGTCTGTTTGTCTTATTCCAAACGTTGTGCCGTCAGGGAACTATACGTGCTTATCATGTTTATCTAATCTGACTTTTGCCCTCCTTTCTACTGCAGCATTTACTGAGAATATATTTTGATCGTAAGATGGGACATGTAAGGCATTACTTAATAAGACATCCTGCGCATTTCCATGCAAGTCAACTAATTTGACTTTAGCAGTACCTTTACCGACTACTACGTTGGTTTTACTGCCATCTGCTAATTCAATAACATGCGCTTTACTATCAAATTTACTTTCAAAATCTATAAATTTTGACTTATTGTTAATAATGTGGCTTGTAGCTCTTGTGTCCACCAGTAGAGTTAAATTTGCTTGATCCTTATCCTTCACGTCTGCTTCAGCGTTCTCTTCTTCATCCTTTGACACGAATAAAAATGAGTGTTGCCGTTCACTGTCACAGCGCTGCTCGTTTTTAGCTGACTTGGACGTTTCTTTAGTCTTTCGGCAATCTTTCGTGTATTGGGTATTGGTCTTGCATATGGAGAGCCATTTGTACCCCTTCACTCGGCATTTTGAGCTTTTGTGTCCCTTTCCTCTAAATTTGAAACAATTTCCATCAAATTTTGGTTTCACATACATAACGTTGTCACCTCCATCAGTTTTTGGTGACAATGTTTTGATATTTTCTTCATGACTTCGTAACGAGTTTTTAAATTCCGTAAATCTCATTTATCTTTCTCTTTGAACTTTTACGGAAGCAAAGACCTCGTACGTGCTTGGCAGACCCTTTAAAACCATTGCAATGAGTAGTGCATCACTTATTATCTCCTCGGCTTCTCTTAAAGTTGTTGCCGATCGTTCTGCTCGGAATATATAATCTGTGACAGTCTCGTCGTCACTTTTCTTTAGCGAAGTGAGTTCCGTGTAAAGAACGATGATGCGAGGTTTTCCTCTGCCTTTATAGTGATGTCTGACGATTTCTAAAGCTCTCCGTGCATTGTCTTTCGCCTCCCGAATCACAAGAGACAAACTTCTGTCTTCCAGACAATGGACCAACTCTTCAAAAGCGTGAGTCCGTTAGAGAACTTTGTGTGTCAGTTAGACAAATTGTTAAACACCTTCCTAAATGATAATATAACTCAGTACCTCTATTTTCATTCCAACATGCAGTGGCGTGGCTAAAGTGGGGCCTGGAAAGGGGGCACGTCCCCCCTAAAAATTGGCTGTGCCCCCCAAGTGCCTCCATTTCAATTTTAGATCAGAGTCTTCATATGCATCGTTCGAAATTGAAAAAGAAGCACATGGCATTAATGTAATTCTTACGAATTCACACAATTTTACTGTAAAAAAAAGTATTCTATTAGCTCTGCAGACGAGTTTGCGTTGTATTTACCCTTTCTGGGTTGTTAGCCGAGTGGAAAAGACTTTAATTTCTAAAAGACAAAAAACAATAATTCTATAAGATTCAAGTCTTTAGTGGGCAAGGAAGAACAAGTAATATTGTGATGCATGTCATGAACCACATTACATCATATGTTAGAACTTGTATGAGATCGTGGACACAAAAAAACAAATATAGCAATGACTAAGAGTAAGGCTCAGGAAAATACTGCAATTCTGGGAGTATTATGATATGAAAATATTTCATTGAAATCAATAATCATTCTACGTAACGTTATAACACGAAGAATGTACAAATCCGCCAAGGTTTAACTGAGAAGTTAAAAATTTGAAACTATTCATGTTGTGATAAATATTTCAAAAATTTCCCAGTGCAGAAGCAATTTTAAGGTAATTTCGCTAGCGACTGACGTGGTACAAATGTTGTGCCTTTCCACTCGCAAAATCCTGGCGACGCCACTACCAAAATGCAGCCAAATGCCTAAATGCAGAAAAACTAAAATGTCCAATTGCGTTGTTTTCAGCTGCCATCCTTGATATTCATTTACACGTACAAGTAAAACTGTAACATTACGTAGCTATGTTTGATCTTCAACAATTTTAGTTGTCTAGAAACTCTAACTAAAGGACAAATTTATGTTGACATTAATAATTTTATGACTTTTAGATGCAGTCAAGAGAAGAAATCAATAACTTCTACATGCAAGAAACACTTAAAGATGTTACAAAGAAACTTGTTGATCTTTTTATCCAAGAATGGAACACTCATTACAAAAAATCTCTCGGAGAATGGGAAAATACAAACGTCAGTGGTCAGAAGTTGCTCAAAATTGAAAAAACAAAAAGAAGACCTCATGACAAACACATTCTGTCAAAATTTCAAGATGGTGACACCAGTAAGTGGGATTGTACGACATTATTTGCAGCAATTTTATTTTCCAACTCAGTTGGAACAAAACTTGACCCAAAATCTAAGGCTGCTGTGGACAAACTTCGTGATACAAGAAACAAATTTATCCATGATAATCCAGGAAGAGTATCTGATACCGAATTTGACAAAATGCTTTGTGATATTGAAAAGTTATTTAAAGATCTAGCATTTTCATTCAATGAAATTAATGAAATTAAATGTCAACGAAACAGATATAGTTCTTTTCAAGTACTTCCTTGCAAATCAAATCACGATGTGGTTAAACGTACAGAGTTACTTAATCAAATAATAGCAGATCTCAACAACTTGCGCAGTACTAATAATAATGAACTAACATATTATTACATTTCTGGTAATCCTGGCAGTGGTAAATCTCAATTAGCTAGACAAATTTGCGAAGAAATGTATAACTCGTTTGACTGGGAAAAGAACACGTCATTTGTGATGACACTCGACGGAAAAGATATCGACTCTCTTTTGAAAACTTATGCTGAACTTTATCAACGATTAAGCAATGATAAAACTGTCATTGAAAATATTCTAAAAGAACCAAAAAGCAGCGAAGACAAAATCAAGTATTTTCAATTATTGCTGACACAACAACTGAAATCATGGCAAACATGGTGGATTGTTGTAGATAATGTGGTTGAACTTCATAAAATTTATCCATTATTACCTCAAGTTGGTGATCATAGCTGGAAAAATGGTCAAATTATAGTAACTGTCCAAAATACAGATGCTATACCACCAGATGGAAATCTGAATAAACACATTTCAGTTAGTCATGGTATGAATGATGAAGAATGTCGACAACTTCTATCTGTCTTTTATGATATTCATAATAAAGATGATAAATTGTTAAAGGATGTATCAGACAAATTAAATCGTCAACCGTTGTTCCTGGCAAATGCTGCTTCCTACGTAGGTAGTGTAAAAAGTATAAGTCCGACATTCACCTGGGAGAAATATTTTGATAAGTTGAATGAAGAAAAGCGACAGAACATGCACGGCAATTTTCAAAAAATAAACCCAGCTTACTTAGGAATGAAAACTGTTATGTTAGCAGTACAAAAAAATGCCGAAGAATCCATCTTGTTGGAACATGTTTTTAAACTTTTCTCAATAATATCATTCGATCCCTTACCACAAGATGTTATAATACATTTTATTAAAAGCATTGATCCACAAATATCTGCAGAAGATATCTGTCTTCAACTAAAGCATTGTTCTTTATTCCTTCAAACGGAAAACAACGACATCCGCCTGCACAGTGTTGTACACGAAGCTATCATAAAGTATTCATCGCAGACCTTTGCCTGTAAACAAAACGAAAATAATTCTAAGATGTCTGCAGCTGATCTTGCGTGTCAAGTTGCTTGGACACTAAATCATTTTGAAGACAGAGAAGATGAAATCAAAATGATTCCACATCTAATTAAATTCATAACAAATTCATCATTTCAACATTTCCTAAATAAGTTGATCGATGTAAAATCATCAAAACAAAAACTTGATGAAAGAAATTGGAAATTTGCCATATATTTTGTAAATGTTTTGGAAAGATTTTGCAACTATAAACTTGCGACTAAAGTACTTTATGAAATAACAGAAATTCAAACTAAAGTGCTAGGTGTTGATCATATTGATGTTTCATATTCGTACGACAAGCTGGGTTCATTGCATTTGACGAATGGAGAATATGACATTGCTAAAGATTTTCTCAAGCGAGCAATGGGAATTCAAGAAAAAACATTTGGACCTGACCATGTTGATATTGCGATAATTTACAGGAATCTGGGTTTGGTTTACACTAATATGGGAGAGTACGAAAAAGCAAAAGATTTTTATGAAAAAGCGATAGAAATTCAAATAAAAGCATTTGGACCTGACCATGTTAATATTGCGATAAACTACAACAATCTGGGTTTGGTTTACTTTAACATGGGAGAGTACGAAAAAGCAAAAGATTTTTATGAACGAGCGATAGAAATTGAAACGAAAGCATTTGGACCTGACCATGTTAATATTGCGACAACATACAACAATCTGGTATTGGTTTACAGAGATATGGGAGATATCGAAAAGGCAAAAGATTTTTGTAAACGAGCGATTAAAATTCAAAAAAAAAAATTTGGACCTGACCATGTTAAAATTGCCACAACATACAACAATCTGGGTTTGGTTTACGACGATATGGGAGAGTACGAAAAAGCAAAAGATTTTTATGAACGAGCGATAGAAATTCGAAGAAAAACATTTGGACCTGACAATGTTCATATTGCGACAACGTACAGCAATCTGGGTTCAGTTTACAAAAATATGGGAGAGTACAAAAAAGCAAAAGATTTTTATGAACTAGCGATGAAAATTCAAAGAAAATTATTTGGACCTGACCATGTTAATATTGCGACAACGTACAACAATCTGGGTTCGGTTTACAACGATATGGGAGAGTACGAAAAAGCAAAACATTTTTATGAACGAGCGATAGAAATTGAAACAAAAACATTTGGACCTGACTATTTTCATATTGCGACAACGTACAGCAATCTGGCCTCAGTTTACAAAAATATCGGAGAGTACGAAAAAGCAAAAGACTTTTATGAACGAGCGATGAAAATTCGAACAAAAACATTTGGACCTGACCATGTTAATATTGCGCCAACGTACAACAATCTGGGTTTTGTTTACGATAATATGGGAGAGTACGAAAAAGCAAAAGATTTTTATGAACAAGCAATTGAAATTGCAACGAAAGCATTTGGACCTGACCATGTTAATATTGCGACAATGTACCACAATCTGGGTTCGGTTTACTTTTATATGGGAGAGTACCAAAAAGCAAAAGATTTTTTCGAACGAGCGATGAAAATTCAAAAAAAAACACTTGGACCTGACCATGTTGATATTGCGTCAACATACAGCAATCTTGGTTCGGTTTACAGAGATATGGGAGAGTACGAAAAAGCAAAAGATTTTTGTGAACGAGCGATGAAAATTCAAAGAAAAACATTTGGACCTGACCATGTTAATATTGCGACAATGTACAACAATCTGGGTTTGGTTTACTTTTATATGGGAGAGTACCAAAAAGCAACAGATTTTTATGAACGAGCGATGAAAATTCAAAGAAAAACACTTGGACCTGACCATATTGATATTGCATCAACGTACAGCAATGTGGGCTCGCTTTACAATAAGATAGGAGAGTACGAAAAAGCAAAAGATTTTTATGAACGAGCGATGAAAATTAAAACAAAAGCATTTGGACCTGACCATGTTAATATTGGGACTACGTACAACCATCTGGGTTCGGTTTACAGTGAAATGGGAGAGTACGAAAAAGCAAAAGATTTTTATGAACGAGCGATAGAAATTGAAACGAAAAGATTTGGACCTGACCATGTTAATATTGCGATAAGGTACAACAATCTGGGTTCGGTTTACGAAAATATGGGGGAGTACGAAAAAGCAAAAGATTTTTATGAACGGGCGATAGAAATTCAAACAAAAGCATTTGGACCTGACCATGTCAATATTGCGTCAATGTACAACAATCTGGGTTCGGTTTACAGTAAAATGGGAGAGTACGAAAAAGCAGAATATTTTTATGAACGAGCGATAGAAATTGAAACGAAAACATTTGGACCTGAACATGTTAATGTTGCGACAACGTACATCAATCTGGGTTCGGTTTACAAAGATATGGGAGACTACAAAAAAGCAAAAGAGTTTTTTGAAAGAGCGTGGAAAATTAAAACAAAAACATTTCGACCTGACCATGTTAATATTACGAGAAAGCAATCACGCTGTAATTTACTGCGATAGGAAAAACACGAAAAACCAACATAATAAATTTTGTAACAAGCGATAGAACTTGAAAGTGACGCTTGTGACCTTTATATTTATCTTTTATTTGCCAACAGCTAAACGTTTTCCGTATTTAAGAAACGTATCGCGAGATAAAGGAAGAAGAAAAGAACAAAAGACACTTTCAAAGTTCAAAAGACAAATTCTTAGTTTACAGCGATAGAAATTGAAACGAAAGCATTTGGACCTAAACATGTACTACAATAATATACAACAATCTTCATTTGGTTATAAACAAACTATAGATATTAATACTGAAGCATTTGGACTTCTATTTATCTTTTAATTACTACTAGCTGAAATACCCCTGTCTTTAGGAAAACGTACAAGGAGATAGAAGAAAATGAATTTGTAGCTCATTTTTAATGAAGAAGAAAATCAATTTCTGTTTTTATTTTAGATTTGTCTTCTTTATACTAAAGCTGATTACAAACTGTTGTATTGTAGATTTCTTTTAACAAAGATTCAAATAACAACAGTTGTATATTTATAAAAGATATAAATATATTATTGACAATATTCAAACATTTGTATTTTCAAGTTTTCAACTGTCATTTATTTACTGGAACAGTTTTTATTAAGAAACTTGTATGGAACTATCAAAGTATATTTATGAGTTTAGTTTGCAATATCTAGCTATTCAGAAATTGTGAATTTCCTTAAAATAAATGTTGTTGGGTCATTTTCTTGTATAATCAGAGTAAATACTGATATTACGGCAACCATGATCATGTAACATCCCTTTTTGAAATGCTGAAAAGTCAACAAGATTTGCTTTGCTATATCAGTATGAATACAGTCTTTTCTATATTTATTTCTATTCATTCATATAATTTACAAAATATTCTTTCTATTTATGAGAATTGCAGTTGTTTGAAATGGACATACAGTTATTGTTATTTGATTCAATCATACATGATTTGGGGACTAACACCTTAATTGTTGTGACAATGTTTGTTTTTTTTTTACTTTGGAGGAAATATTTATTTAATGATTGATTCAAAAAAACTTTATTATAGTTCAAACTATAAAGGCAATGTAAAGTAAAAGTTATAAATAACCTGAAGAAGAAAAAGCAGGATATCATTGCCGTAGCATTGACAGAAGTGAAAATGACACATTTAAGTGTCCGCCTACCAGATTTTAGACTACCAGATTTAGTAATATATAAAAATTCCCAGCAGTGGCGCAGGAACTTGTTAATTGGAGGCACAAATTCCTATATGCATGTCTTAATCCGTTGAAAGCAATGGATTTTAAAGGAACTTAATGTAGCAGAACATTTTTGGCTAATGTCTTTACAACTGATAAGAACAGTAAATGAGTCATTTCTAGTGGTGTCATTACTACTGATATGGACAGTAATGAGTCATTTTCATTTCTATGACATTCATGTCTTGCTTTTGCTATAGTTTATACTTTACATTGCTTTGAAACTGATTCTCCCAGCTACATAAATGATTTTACAACAAAATCACAATACAAAAAGTTGTGGTTATCTCTGATCCCAAGAAAAGCAAATATAAATTAAAAATGAGATTTACTACATTTAAATGTAAGCGAAAAAAGAATATTGTCACAACAATTAAGGTGTAAATCCCCAACTGTAAATAGAAAGAAATGTTGAATTAACCAAACTATTGACCTTCTCTCCATACACAATTCTTTTAAATACAAATTATATTTTACCATTTATCACAGTGAACAGAAATTTGTATATTTACACAGCAAAGCCAGTGTTTGGGCATTTTAGAAAACTTACTAAGTACTGTAAGCTTTACATGTAAATAATGTACATGTTAAGATTTTTCTTATTAAACAACAAAAAGAAGCAAACAAACAGAAATTGAAAATACAACTGTTGCTGTTAAGCTAAAAGAGAAAGAAAACATACCCAAAAGCCAAGGCTAACAAAGCATCTTGTTCCTTGAAATGGAGCCACAAATCCATTTCTTTCTTTAAAGACCAAACACAATAAAAATCCTTTGCTGACAAGCGTTTTGATAGATCTGGCCTTGGTGACCACCTGACAATGTAATTTATCTTCATGTATGTTTTAGATAGTGATGTAGCCAAGAAAAATGGAGCTTTTACTCTAATTATGTGTGTCTGGCTCATATTTACTGTTGTCATCTCATATGTAGTGTAGTGAGTAACAAAAAAGTAATTGAACAATAAAATATTTATTTTCATAGCACTGGTAGACTTGCTATACGCTACTAGTTGTCATGTTGTTATTTAAGGCTCAATTCTGATATCTTCCTTTGACTCTTTTTTTCATTTTCCGTAAATTATACACGTATTTAATAAAATATACATTTAAGTTGATTTATTCAAAGGGGAACCCCCACGGTCTGAGGATCTAAGTTCTTGAGTCTATTGTAATGATAACAACATCGCAATGAAGACATAATTGAATTCATCTCTTGGCATAGGAAAAGGTTAAATTCTTACCTCTAGGTTTATTAAATATTAAAAGTTCCGTACATGCATTAATTTTATGAATGGCTTCGAATATTACCTTTAACATAAATAACAAGTTGAAGTTACAAAAAGTACAACTTTTGTGCCAAAGGAATTTGATGCCACTTTTTAAGTATGTATGGTATTTTGATTCATTCATTTTTTATCATTTTCGCGCATTATTTTGAACATAAACGACGCAGCATTTATTAAAATGGAATTCATATTAAGACTGCATATTTCTGTGCCAAGGTATTTATAAACTTCCTTTATATTGTAAGTTCTCATTACCTAACTAAAGGATTGTATCACATTGGCCAAGTCGTTGAAATATATTAGGAATAACAAAGGGCCCTGAATAGAAACCTGTGGGTTTCCTGTGAGACTTTCTTCTTCCTGTGATATAACTCTTCATATTATAAAGCGAATATATAACAAAAGAGAGACGCAAAGGTATAGAAACTGAGGTAGACCCAAAGGTGGACAAAAACATAGACAAAAGGGTAACACAAATGAAGGCAAAAAGATATACAAAAAGATACACGAAAGATTGACAAAAAGGAAACACTAATGGAAACAAAATGGTAGACACAAAAGTAGACGTAAAGACTAAAGTCAGACAAAAACATTATAATGTGCAAGGATTGTCTTTTCACAAAAAGATAAATTAATATTTTTTCATTTGATTTTAGACATTTGGATTAACAAACTGAAAACAGTTAAACTTGATTCGGAAGAAAAAGAATGGACGATATGAACCATTGTATCTAGCTAATTTTCAGGCTATCAGACAAACATCCCCAGTTTCATGTCGACGACGGCAAGCACAGAAGCAAGATTGGCCATTTCTTACAGCTGTGTATGTCGCACACGGCATGAAATTGAAAATATTGACTGCAGTATGAAAATTAGGATTTTTATAATTTGTTTTTTTGATAAAGATAAATTCCATGTTTTTATCCCACAAGATTTTCACATTAAAAAATGTCGAAATTTGGGCGTTTGACAATGGCGTAATTTTATTCATCTGTAAAGAAAATGAAATTGTGTAAAGTTACAACACCTAATTTAAACACATCAGATAAACATAACTTTCTCATGAGTTTATTTTGCTGCTGTAAAAATCTTACCATCATAAATCGTTGGTTAAAAGTGACTTGTTTTACGATCAATTGTCGAGACAAGAATCGTGATCTAAGAAAGAAAAATGTTCCGGAAAAAGTTTTAAAACAGCCAAAGGCCAATAAACTGCATTTGACTTGGAGACACTGGAGATTGAAACGTCGCTAAAGAACAAAATCTTTTGATTTCCCATTCATAGCTTGCCATGTAAACGGCCTGGTGGACTCACAATATATATACGTCTTGTAAAATTACTGACAAAAACGATGAAAAATATTTTCCTTTTTTGTAAATATTTTATATTTAGTAACTGAATCATAATCCTATTCATTGTAATTAATGTATTTATATCATATTACGTATCATATTACCTAACACTAACCATTCTGCACTGAAGATGGCATTCTGATAATGTCGAAACATGTTTGCTCTCAAAAAAATCGTCGTTTTTCTCAAGTGTTTTTTAAAATTGCTGCTAATTAGAAATTATGGTAATACCTGTATTAGATGGCAATCCTTGACAGAATAGCGAAATGGTGAACCATTATGATCCATAATAAATTAATGGAACTCCAAAACCCTTTATATTGTAAACCACTTTTTAGTGATGTTGGCATCCTCAATAAAGATTAGCTATAAATAAATAAATATTTGTGCTATAAAAATATGAATGTTGAAATAACAAAGTTTAACCATAGGCGGCCCAAAAAATCACTTAAATTGTATAAACCAACGATAACTCGCCCCATTCCATCGTAACAAATCGTGCTCCGCAAATTTTGTATTGATTCATTGTATCTATATTATATATTTACCTAAAAAAATATTAATATATAATAAAAACAAATACATAATTAAATGTATAATATAGATACAATTAATCAATACAAAGTTTGCGGGGCACTGACAGTTACATTTGAATGGGGCGAGTTATCGTTTGT